GGCTCGAGATTGAAGTCGCCGCCCATCAGGAAGGGCATCCCAGAGGTCGAAAAATGAACACCAAGGGCCCCAGGGATGTCGAGGTTCGCTTCACTGAGCCCTTCAGAGTCCCGAAGGTAAAGAGAGGAGAGGAGGATGGCCTGGCCCTCTGGGGGGTGGACAACTCCAACCACGGCCCTGTGGGGCCAAAGCTCAGCAGGGCCCAAACAATGCAAACCAAGCCAGCTACGGGCCCGGATGGCAACACCACAGGTGGGGCCTCCCCCCTCTCCAAGGGTTCCTGGGGCCCAGAGGGATTTCCAGCCGTGCCTGAGACAAAAAGCTGATGCCACTTCGATGGCATCCCCAGCCTGGAGCTTGTGCTCCTGAACGAGGAGAACGTGGGCCGAACACCTGGGGAGCCAGTCTCTCACCGACGACCAAGCGTTGCCGTTGACAGTTTCCACGGCCAGGGAAAATTCTTCCGAGGGGGGGGCATCGGGGACTGCTGGGCAGCCACGAGCGTCAGCTCCAATACTCCAAGCATCTCGCCGTGCAGCCAGGGGAGTACGATGCGTCCCCTGAATTAACATCGCGTCACCGCTCGCATGAACTGGCAAAATTACACGAGCTAGATTCTTCGCGGAAGGATTGGAGCAACCGTGCTGCGGAGCCGCCGAGACCGACGGCACCGAGCCACAACGAGGAATACGTACACTGGGGCCGTACAGAGAGAAACCAGGCATGCTGCAGAGCTTGGCCCTGTCTAGTATGGCCGAAAAATATCCGATTTGATGCCCCCCGCTTCACATCGAGACGTCAAGCGGGGGGCCGCCTTTGCCAGACACCTTGTTAGCTGCCAGAGCGCGCGCTGCCTCACGCATCTTGGCCAGGTCAGGCGTTGGCGGTGCAGCCGAAGATCCGCTGGCAGCCTGTCCAGTGCCTGCGGTAGATCCCGTCGACGGAGCCGAAGGAGCCGACGTAGAAGCTGGCTGAGCTGCTGGTTCAGCTTGGGCTGCCTGACCAGGAGCGGGTGCGCCATCAGCAGGTTGCCCTTGCCCCTCAGCTTCAGCAGCATGAGCTCCGTCCTCGCCTCGACGACGCTTGGCCTTGAGGCGTTGGGTCTGCTCGACGTGCGCCGCCTTGGCTGCCTGCACCGACTCCATCGCCTTGGCGAAAAGGTCCTTGGCCATGGTGTTGAAACCGCTGACCAGCTGCTCCTTCCGCCTGTTGACCTCCGCAATGTCCGCCTCCTCGAGCGTGCCGACCTCGGGGTCGATGTCCAGTAGGTCGCCGACGTCCAGCTCGAAGGCGTCGGTCTTGCCTGCCAGGAGCTCTGAGAGAGACACGGCAGGTCTGCTGGCGTCGGGGTGCTGCTTGCGCAGTAAGTGAACAAAGTGAACCTTCTCCGAGAGCTCGTCGTGCTTGGCGTCCAGACCGTCCATCTCCTTGTTGATCTGGACGATGAGGGATTCCTGAGCGGTGACTTTGAGGCGAAGCGCCCCGAGATTGCCAAACTCCCAAGACAACTTCTTCCCCAGTTTGAGCCGTTCACGCTGGCAACGTGCGGGCTGTTCTTCATGTGACTCCTCAGCCTTGGGCGGCTTCTTGAGCGCAGCCAGCTGTACTTGGTAGCGGTTGGCCTCCGTCGTGTTGCCCACCTTGCGGAAAAGCTCGACGAAGGTCTCCAGCTCTTGGACCGATAGCTGGGTGACGTTGGGAGGAGGGCCAGGCTGAGCCGCACCTCCTTGAGGACCTGGGACCAGGGCGGGGGTGTAGAAGTAGCCAGGTGGTGTCCACGCAGCGCCTCCGTGCCCCTTGCCCTTGCCCTTGGACGGCTTACCTCCGCCCTTGTACACGCCCTTGCCGTTGCCGCCGCCCTGGAAGCCCTGATACTGCAGCCCTGGCGAGAGAGCGGGTAGCAGACCTCCAACAGCAGCGTTCTGAGCCCAGACACCAGCAGGAGGAGCGGGATCAGCAACTTTCGGGGCGTTCCAGGCCGTGCCGCAGTGCTTGCAGACGTGGCTCGCCATCTTGTTCTTGGCGCAGCCGCATGAGCTGCACTTCCATGTACTGCTTCGCTGGAACGGTGGGCCTTGGCGCCATGGGGAGTCTGCGAAGGCATTTCCCGCGGGCCCTGGGCTCATCCGCGGCCGAGCGATGGAGGGGATGCGGCCCCTCGGCCTTAGTGGAAAGCTGGGGATCGATTGCCGTGAAGCCAGAGGCCCGCAACAGCAATGCCGTTCTGAAATACGCGGTTGCAAGTCCAGGCACAACACCTGGGCCAGAACGGCTAAGGAGGAGGAGGAGGAGGAGGAGGAGGAGGAGGAGGAGGAGGAGGAGGAGGAGGAGGAGGAGGAGGAGGAGGAGGAGGAGGGGAGGAGGAGGAGGAGGAGGGGAGGGGGGGGGGGAGGGGGAGGGGGAGGGGGGGGGGGGGGGGGGAGGGGGAGGGGGAGGGGGAGGGGAGGGGGGGGAGGGGAGGGGGAGGGGGCGGAGGAGGCGGAGGAGGCGGCGGAGCGGCGGAGGCGGAGGCGGAGGCGGAGGCGGAGGCGGAAGCGGAGGCGGCGGAGGAGGAGGAGGAGGAGGAGGAGGAGGAGGAGGAGGAGGAGGAGGAGGAGGAGGAGGAGGAGGAGGAGGAGGAGGAGGAGGAGGAGGAGGAGGAGGAGGAGGAGGAGGAGGAGGAGGAGGAGGAGGAGGAGGAGGAGGAGGAGGAGGAGGAGGAGGAGGAGGAGAGAGAGGAGGAAGAGGAGAGGAGGAGGAGCAGGAGGAGGAGGAGAGAGGGGAGGAGGAGGAGGAGGAGGAGGAGGAGGAGGAGGAGGAGGAGGAGGAGGGAGGGAGGAGGAGGCTGGTGGAGGAGGAGCAGAATTATGGAGGGCGAGGGGGGGGGAATAGTATGAACAGGGGTCCTGGACCCTCCTTCTCCTTCTCCTTCTCCTGGATCCTCCTCCTCCGCCTCCTCCTCCTCGTCCTTCTCCTCCTCCTCCTTAAGCCTTCTCGATCCTCTTCTTCATCCTCTTCCTTCTCCTCGACTTTTCTCGATCCTCCTCGATCCTTGATGCTGCTCGATTCCCCCCCATGCTAGGTCCCCCCCAAGTCGATGCCCCTCAGGCTGGGATAGCGACCTCCCGCGGCAGACGTCTGGCGACACGGACGCGGATCCGCCGGTGCTGCCCAGGGCCTACAGCTCGGGCGCTGCCAGCGGTGGCCCTCCAGAGGAGGGCCAGTGGAGACCACGGCAGTTCGCGTTCGGGTGCCGATACTGCTACCCTTGCCTCGTTTTCACCTTTCTGGGCCTCCTGGGATGCCCCCGTCGCCGCCGCTGGATTCGCCTAGAGATTCTGGTCAGAACGCACCCCGGGAGAGGTCCAGAATGCACCAACTGGTTTTCCCAGTAGAGACAAGGGTTGTCAGCGTTCGGGGGACCTGCTTTGTTGCCACGGTTGGACGCCGCTCGGGGAACCGGTGCGTCTCGTCCCTAGGAGAGGTCTGGAGACCAATTTTAAGCTGCTGTTGTCTCAAGTCGCCTTGCTCCGAGTCCTGGCCCAAGGTGCTCCCAGCTGTTCCAGAGAAGCAGAAATCTACAAAGACATAATTTCTCGGAGGTCCGCGTGGATCGCTGTTGGGCCCTCCAGGCGGCGCCTCCGTCGCCGCCCCCTGGCACGCTTAGCGCGTCCGGGGGGGGGGTCCAGGGCCGATCCAAGAGATTCGGGCGGACTTCCGAGAAGTCATGATTTTGCCGTGTTTCGTTCCTCCATTTTCGCTCCATTTTGGGAACTGGGGCCCTCTGGGCCTCGCAAGGGGTGCTCTAGAAGCCACCTGCGCCGCCCCGTGAGAATTGGGGTCGCCTTCGGCCAGGGCCAGTTCTGGCAGCGCCTGGACAGCGGCGACACCTCGGACGCGAACGCGGCGACCCCAGAGAGGCTCGGAGGCCCCCAAACGGTGTGGTGACCACACCTCGTGGTGAGTCAGTTGTCGGAAGTTTTCTGACGTTCTCATAGATTCCTGGCGGTTTCTCAGCGTGAGGATTCTTTCCAGCAGCTGCGCCTCGCCGAGGGCGTTCCAGGGATGCCCACATTGTCCCGAACGGCCGCCTGAGGCCCGAGTTACAGTGGAGACCCATGCCGAGAAACACCCTGCTTGCCTCCAGGGTGCCCTGGGTTTCTTGGGTTTCGATGGTCTTGCGATGGAACGCATGACGTTCCCACACCAAAAATCAATGGACGTCCTGGGGTCTCAGGGTTGGGTTTCTTGTGGAAGGTTTCTCGTGGTCGGGCCCCGACTGCACGACCCGAAAACCACCGGGCGTCGAGGGCCTCGAAAGGGTGCGGTGGTCGCATCGCGTGGCGAGTCAGCGTGGATTCGGGGCCACCGCATGGTCTTAGGACTCGGCTCGCTCTCCGAGGCTGTCTCGGGCGCTTGGGGCCTCCAGGGCACCCGAGCCGTGCGGCGATGGACCGTGCGGTGAGGTCTGCTGGGACTTCGAGCTCATCACGCGGCGTGTCCCCAGAGATCTGACGGCGCGAAGAATGTGGAGCACGGTCAAACATCCAGGCCGGAACGCGGGACCCCATCTCTCTGTGCCATCTGTCGAGCCGCCCCGATCCGCGCACAAGGGTGCCGCAGGGCCCGAGCCCGGGCGACGGCGCCCAGCTCGAAGAGGTAGAGACACTCCAGGAACTCAGGGTCACCACGTCGTTCTTGGCATCGCTCGGACGTGTGCATTTTTTCTTGGTGACGACCATCGAGGAGCATTCTTGATCATCTAGCGAAAAAAAATCACGCACGAAATCGAGAAATGCGCGGGGAATGGGCGTCCGAGCGATGGCGAGCGTTTGGGACACCCCCAGAGGTGGGAGCCAGTGGAGGGCCGCGACGGCGGGGACGGTGGTGCAGGCGGCGGGGAGCCCGCGGGCGGCGGCGGGGCCGCGCGGGGGCTGCCGCGGCCGCCGCGGGCTGGGCGCCTGCCCCGCCTCTCGTCCCGCTCGGTCTCCGTGGACTTCGCGGCGGTCGAGACGGAGGAGATGGAGCTGAAGGAGGAGAAGTCGGGGACAGGGGTCGACACATCTCTCGGCGGCTGTTCAGTACCGTTTCACCGACCCCCATCCCCATCCCCATCCATATCCAGACCCCCACCATCGCAGCACATCAGTTGGGGATGTACCCCTCGAAACCCGAAGGACACTGCCTGTATCCCCATCTAGGGGGCAGATCGGCCAGGTGGGCCCAGGCCACGCCCATGGGGATGGGGGTCGGATCAACGATGCTCAATTGTACAAAAGATGCGGTTACGCCATGGTGTGCCTTGCGATCTGCGCCGTTGGGGCTTGTTGGTCACCACGTTGCCCTCGTCGGGCCTCCTCGGGTTGCGGCGGGCAACTCGGTCGGGGTCCTCGCCCGCCCGCCAGGGTGCGGGTTGCAAACCGCACCCTTCGCAAACCACACCCTCAGGAGTCGCCGAGTACCCCTTGGCAAAAAGTGTCAAACACATGAACTTTCGGAGGTCCGCGCGAATTTCTCGGATCGGCGCAGGAGCCTCATGGCGGCGCCTCTGGCACCGCATCTGGGTCCAGCACCAATCCAAGAAATCAGCGCGGTCCTCCGGAAGTTCATGCTCATGTTATTTTTTCTTTCTCGAGACATGTCTCTTGTCACGAAAGGATCGGCTCGATTCGGTTCGGTCTGGTTCTGCAGCCTGTTCGGTTTTGCTTGGCTGGTTCGGTTTCACGTCGGTTCGGTTTCGGCAGGTTCGGCTTGGGTCTGCCGCCTGTTCGGTTCGGTTCGGTTCTGGTTTTCGCGCGGTTCGGTCCGACCGGTTCGGTTCGGTTCGATTGGCCGGTCCGGTTTGGTTCGGTTCGGTTCGGTCCGATTGGTCGGGTGCGACGTTGGGCGCTCCGTCTGCGTAAGCGACGACCCAGTTTGAAAACAAAAGGAGGAGGAGGAGGAGGAGGAGGAGGAGGAGGAGGAGGAGGAGGAGGAGGAGGAGGAGGAGGACCGTAGCCATTTTGGCTCAAGTTGCCATTTATCAAGGCAGCTGGCCAGGACAGCTTCTTTGGCCGCCGCGGGTGCAGCCCAGTCAGGCGCCCGTGGTGGTCTTCAGCTTCTAACGTTTGTGAGCTCCTGTTGGAGCAAGTTCTTTCCACGTTCAGCTGTGCTGAGGCATGGCTAAAGCCAATGGCAAGGGTAAGGGGCCAGTCGGCCTTGCTTGCCCGCACTGTGGGTGCAAGAAAAACCCGAGCCACTTCAAGTTCTGCTACCACTGCAAAGGACCCATCCCGCACTTCGGGCCCGTCCCTCCGCCTCCGCCTGTGTGGGAGTATAACCCTTGGGTTCGTGCTCCTGGTTCTGCTGGACCTCCTGGTGGTGGTCGCAACGGCAAGGGCGGGGGCAAGGGCAAGTACCAGGGTGCTAAGGGAGGGCAGCGGGGAGATGAACCTACGGGAGGAGGAAGGGAGCCAAACATTCGTGATGAGCTCCACCGTCTCTCCCAGTTGGCTGCTGGAGGAAAGCTTCGAGGGATTTTGCCAAACGCATCTGTTGACGCCATCTCTCAAGCATGGAAGGTGGCTCAAGATCAGAAGTTGGCCAGCGTACCCCCTTCCCAACGGCTCAGAAAGATGGAGCAAGAGCAGACCAAGTGCGAGAAGCGCTTGGAGAAGCTCATGGAGGAAGAGTGCGCTGTCGATGAAGCGATTCGCAAGTTCCAAGACAAGAAGGGAGAGCTTCAAGTCAGCATTCAAAATGAGAAGAAGAAGATCGGGGAGGCCAAGAGGAGAGCTGCAGCTGTCCAGGCTTCTACGGCGGAGTCTTCGACGTCGGCACCATCGATGGAGAGTTTCATTTCGCATCTCAGTATGTTCGAAGGGACATTGTCTGGGGTCAAACATGAAGGTGTACGCGCAAATCTACAGGCACGGTATAAGGAGTTTCTGGATGGTCTCCGCGATGCCATGCCTGCACCAGAGCCCGAGGTGGCCTCTACAGGCGCAGTCAAGAGCTCGGTCATGGAGGTCGATGAGGCTGATGTCATGGAAGCTGTGCAGGTTGAAGGTATTTCGGATTCGCAGAAGAGGGATATCCTGGAAGCCATTCGTTCGGCGAGCAAGAGGCCGAGGTTTCGATCCCCAGGGGCTGGAGGTCGTCCGACTGGCGGGGGGACCCGCGCTCCCTCCACACCTTTCCAGCAACCGCCACCGTCCGCTATGGGCACCGGCACGCGTTCTGACTGGGAGTTCGATGGGTGTGGTGACGGCTCGGAGCATGACCTTTAGCGAGTGCGACCTCGAGGGCCTCGTTCTCGGAAACTCTGGATCGGTGTTCGGGCTGACTGGCATCGGTAGTGGAGTCGAAGAGGCGGGGCTTCAGAGGAGTACGGCATCAAGATCGGCCTCTTCATACTGGTGTGGTGGCATACCATTCGATTATTGCTACGTCGCAATCCCACAGGAGGACGTGCTGCTCCACACATATGCTACGGCGCAGCAGGCAACTGCAGCACCAGCGCAGCAGGAAACTGCAGCTTTACGTACTATTTCTTCGGCGAGAGCCTCTTTGCCTTCGAGCAGTTCCTCAGGGCTGTGTGGCGCTGCTCCTACAGAGCCCCTGGACCGACAAGGCCAGGGCCCGTGTGGCAGTAACCAGGCCGAGTCGGGACAGTCGGGAGGCCAAGGGGCAATCGCCACACAGCCCACAACAACTTCAGTGTCAGGTACTTCCAGTCGTGGGTCAGTCGGTTGTGGGCAGCTCGGAATTGCCCAAAAGAAAGTCGTTTCTGAGCTTCACCCCCTCAGCATCATCACGTTCAATGGGAACAGTTGGCACAGTGAAGGCGCGGATGATGTATCTTCTAATGTCAAAGGAGGGAGCTTCTCAGAGCTGGTGAGGACCACGGTCGGTGATGTTCTTCTTCTACAGGAACACAAACTGGCTGGTGCGAGGCTTTCAAGGACCCGTGCAAGACTCCAGCGGCAAGGCTGGAGAGTCTATGCTGGAGAGTGCATCACCAGTCTGGAGACAGGGAGACCCAGTTGTGGCACGATGATCCTGGTCAAGAAGCATCTAGACTCTTGGATACCACCGTCGTCTCCCTTATCCCTCTACGATGGGAGAGTTGTGAGGATTTTCTTTCGTTCTTCCGAATTTGGCATTGTGGCGATCTACTCTGTCTATTTAAAGGATTCTCTCGGTTACAGAGGGATGAATGTGGACATTTTGAAGACAGTGTGGAAGGATATCTTCGACCATGGACTCCCATTCTGCATTGGCGGAGATTTCAACATGGGACCCAGCGTGATGGCCAGCAACGCCCCACTTGTGCAGATTGCAGGAGTTATCAGGGCTCCTATTGCATCCACGTTCGTGGCCCCAGAAGCTTTCTCAGTCATTGACTACTTCATTGTCAGCAAGCATTTAAATTTTGCTGCAGGACAGGTATTCGCAGATATAGATGGCTCGTACAGTCCGCACAGGCCAGTCTGTTTTTCTGTGAAGAGGGCTCTGAAGGATATCTATGTCAAAGTCCCTGTTAAGTTTCAACACGTGCCACCTGTCGCTGCAGTGGGTCCTGCGCCTGCTCCTCCCAGCTATGATCTGATTGTACAAGACATTGAGAGCTTCCTCCTACCTTTGCAAGATGCTGATGGGAATTCCTACATGGCCACAGGGGCTGATAAATCCCAGGGAGCTCTTCTACTGGATCGAGTGTATGATATCTGGGTCTCCCAGGCCTGGGGTGAAATCTTGGACGTGTGTCAAGCTAGGGACTCGCCTGGGCTCCCTGGGGGATCCGACTTGCAGTTCAAGGATAAACCTCTCAGATCGCTTCTGGTTACCAAACAGTACGAGAATGCCTTTCCAGGACGTGCGTTGGAATGGGTCCTCCATAGGCTCCAAGAATTGAGATCTCTATTTCTTCGTGGCGGCAGGGAAGGTTACCTCTTGGGGCTCCTGCGACAATGGCAACGTCTTCCAGTCCGAGGGGGTCCCTTCAGGAGGCACTGGAAAGCTGGGGGCGAGTTCTGGCACCCTGTACTGGCGGTATTTGCTCAAGAGCTAGTTGGCACACCACTCTTGAATACTATCATCGACCGTATCGACTCGCTCCTGGAATTCGTCGGCCTGTGGGTTCGTGACGGTCTCGTTGAAGACAGATCCAGGGCCAGGGATTCGTGGAAAGAATGGTGTGCTGAAGCAGTAGGTGGGCATATGAAGCAGGCGTTCGCTTTTTTACGCAGTGGAGAACCAGTATCCGAAGAAGTTGTCTCGGATAATGGGGTGTACTCCAGTTCCCTACCTGCTCGACTGGCTGCTGAAACCAAAGTGTGGAAGGCGGCGTGGAATGCAAGTGACGTTCGAGTTGAGCTGCCTCCTTTCGACCTTCCTGAGGGAAGGATCCCAGTGGGGGAGCGTGTAGCTCCCGAAGCTTTGCGGCATATCAGTTCCCGTTTCAAGAGGCAGACATGTACCCCTGATGGGTTTCATCCAAGACACTACTCACTGTTATCTGATGGTGCGCTCCTTGCCCTGTCGTGGCTATTTCACTTGGTCGATGTCTTGGGTCAGGGGCCATCCAGGATTCAGCAGCTCATTGTATTTCTTATGAGTAAACCAGTGAAAGGGCGCCGACCTATTGGACACTACTGTGGGTTCGCGAGGCTCCACGGGAAGACGCACAGAAACCCATGTAGATCCTGGGAATCCAAAGTCGGATTGGGCCCTGAATTTTCCATGGGACAGGGCCGCAGTGCCCTCGACACGGTGTGGCGGCAGTCTGTATCGGCAGAATTACATTCGGGACAGAAGATTCACTACGGGGCCCTCATGTGGGACTTGCTGCAGTTCTACGAGCACATTTGTCACGAAGAGCTCCTCCAGCAAAGTATTTTATCTGAGTTCCCTCTGTATATTCTTTTATATACTATTTCGACTTATCGGTGGAAGAGGATTCTCCTCCTCGATGGGGGGTACGGCGAACCCCTTTTTCCTCGGAGAGGGATCGTAGCGGGGTCCACGTCAGCCACCTACGAGGCCAAGTCGTTCCTCCTCCCCACCATTGTTGGGCACAGGGGGCTTGATTGTACGAGTATGAGTTTACATGTCGATGACCTCTCTGTGCATGCGTGGCATCATAATGTAGATGATTGCGTTCAGCAATTACGAGAACTTGCGGTCAGCTTGGCCTGGACCATTTCACAGAGTTTGCGAGTGCCCCTAGCTGAGAAGAAGATGTTTGCCACTGGTAACAGCTTGACCATCTTGACCACGATCAAAGGGAAGCTAGGGACACTAGCAGGACAGGGCATTGTTGCACCAGCCAACCTCGGAGTGGATTTTGCAGGTGGCAAGCACCAGCTGCGGCCGTTCGCTCGCCTTGTCATGAAGAAGAGGACCAAGAAATTCAAGTTTCGGATCACTAAGCTCTCGGGCCTCAAGGTCTCCACGAAGCTCAAGAAAAGGCTCTTCAAAGGTGGGATCCTCCCAACGGTGTCCTATGGGCTCGACATCCAGGGTGTGTCTCCGATGGAACTCTTATCTATTAGAAGGGCTGCTGGGCGAGTCTGTGGGATCAGTAAGAAAGGGTGCAACTTTGACCTCCTGTGGGCCATTGAGGGCAAAGGCGACCCCATCGTGCTGGCAGGTGGCTGCGTACGCAGATACTGCTGGGAATGGCGGCACAGTTCTGAAGTGAGTAGGCACGGAGGCCCGAGGCATCAGGATGCGCTGACTCCAGGTGTTTTAAGCAGAGTGTTTCACTCGAGTGTCGAAGTCTTCCAAGGGACTCGGGGAAAACCCTGGCTTTTTCGGACCCGTGGGCCGATATCGGCCATGCTCCTCTGGCTCGAAGCTGGAGGATGGACCTGGGAGGGTCCCGCGGTTTTTCTGGATCGGTCTGGCCGTCGTTGGACTTTGACTGAATCCCCCCCGTCTCAGATTGGGGAAAAGTTCGTGGCCGATCTGGCCCAAGTGTTCCTTGACAAGTTTTTTACCAAGGGTCTTGAGACCCACCCGCACCCTGGGAACCAGGACTTGGTTGCTCGTGGGGTCTGGCTCCCTCTCATTCAGCGTGTTGCCAAGAAGCTTGGTAGTCAAGCAAAGCACTTGTATCTTCAAGTACTATCAGGTGCCCTACCGACAGGAGAGACCCTCAGGAAATGGGGCTACGAAGTCGATCCTTTGTGCCCGATGTGTGGAGCAGGTCGGGACACTTTGAGGCACAGGTGCTGGGAATGTCAGCACCCCGACATTACAAGACGCCGCGCTGAGCATTTTGGTACAGAGCTCATTCAGCAGGCTTTAGGATGTGATGAAAATATTCTTATTTTTTCCAGGTTGTGGCCTGCGTATCCTGATGTGCCCCCACCGAGCAAGGACTGGTGTTTGCAGTTTTTCGGTGCCCAGGGTGAACCAGTAGATGCTTTTGTCTTCGGGCCCGAAGCGAACCTCTTCACTGACGGGTCCTGTTTCCACAACACTCGGCCCGAAATCGCCAGGTCAGGGGTCTCCGTTGTCGAGATGAATGATGACGGGACCTGTAGGAGGGGAGTCTACAGTCCTCTTCCCAGTGAATTTGCACAGACCCCTGGAGATGCAGAGCACGCTGCCCTAGCCCTAGCTGTGCTGAGGCAAGAACGTGCCAGCGAACCTCCTCCCAAGGCCATTTCCGTGGACTGTTCGGCTTTGTTCCTGGGTGTGAGGTCTCCTGTTAGGGCCCTGGGGGGAGGTTCTCGGAGCAGCTTTTTCTGGAGGTCCATAGCCAGGGACATAGGGACTAGCAGTTGGATCTCTCTCCGCAAGGTAGGCGCCCACCGCAAGTTGTCCGACGCGGTGGACGAAAATGATGCGCGGGACATTCAAGGATCTACTGCCGCCGACCACTGGGCGAGGCTAGGGGCTCGGGCCCACGACGTCTCGCCTCAGGAGTTAGCTGACTTTGAAAATGCGGAGGGCGAGTACGAATCTTTAGTCGTAGGTGTCCTCGACATTCTGTGTGGTTTCCCTACTTGTGAAGCCCAGTTTGGGAAGCTGAAGCGGCCCCCTAGGGCCGAGAGGCCTCCCCGTTTGAAATCCGACCATTTTCCTGTTTGGCACGGGAATATCCAGCGGTGTCAACGTTGTTTGCGTCAGGTTTCCTCCAAGACCCAGACCCCGTGCGGTACCCTGAACCCTGCTCTGTCGGACCTCCTCTGTGGAGGAGGGGGCTCGGGGCATCACCTGCACTGGGCCCGAGTCGAAGAGAGTGACATGCCTGTGATTTTTTGCGTTTCCTGCGGAGGGTTTGCCACCAGCCGTGGCAGCGCCCTCCTCAGTGCAGCGTGTGAGCCCCCTCGCAAGAGCTCGGAGCGTTCCAAGCTGTTACGGGGGCTCCTTCCAGGGACCAAACACAGACTGGGCCAGTCGTTTCCCCTTTCCTCTCTTCCCTTTTTCCCTCTTCCTTCTCCCCTGCCTGCCCCTGCCTTGTCCTCCTCGGCTGGTCCCAGTTCTGTTGGTCCCCCCGTATCGTAGTCGGGCGCCGGCCGCTCATGAGTGACCAGACGCTGCGGAGTCTTGGAGTCTTGGAGGAGGAGGAGGAGGAGGAGGACGAGGAGCGAGGAGCAAGGAGCAAGGCTTTCGGTGGCGCTTTGTGGTTTTCCTGGGCCCCCCCGTGGTCACGGCTGGATCCGCCTCGAGATGGTTGCCCCCGCCTCCTCTCTCGAGAGGGCCGCCGCCGCCGCCGACGACGACGATGGGGGTCCTGGGTCCTGGGGGTCCTGGGGGTCCTGGGTCCTGGGGGTCCTGGGGAGGGTTCCGGACCGGGGGGGTTTGGACCGGGGGGAGTCCAGACCGGGGGTGTCGGACCGGGGGGGGGGGGTCCAGACCGGGGAGGGTCCAGACCGGGGGCGGTCCAGACTGGGTGGGGTCTGGGCGGCCTCGTGGGCCATCTTGGAGCCGTCTTGGGTCCAACGACGAGGTCCTGGGTCCTGAGGGTCCTGGGGGTTCTGGGGTGGTTGGGGGACGGGGGATCATCGTCTTGCGGTCTTGTGCGGGCTGGGTTGGGACGTCCACTTCGGTTCTCGTCGGTTCGGTTCGGGGGCCGCCCCGTTTTGGTTCGGTTCCGGCTCTGGTTCGGTTCGGTTGCCCCTGGTTCGGTTCTGAATGAATTCGATTCGGTCCGGTTCGGTTTTTGACTTTCCTTGTTTGGGGCCGGTTCGGCCTGGTCCGGTCACGGTTATCGGTTCTCGCTGCGGTTTGGTCCCTTCATGCAACTTGTTAGAGTCCTCTCAAAATGGGTCTGTTGCCTGGGAAGAATCAGCTCCGAGTTCTAGAACACATGTGTGCTGTAGAAGCAATGAATACCGAGGAGGTGTTCAAGTCCAGCGAGACGGAGAGGCGCTTCGCGGAGGCAGCCTTCCAGACCCTGATGTTGATTTGCCTCACGTTCGTGTGCACGCTGACCTGCATGCTGTTGCTGGGCAGCGTCCAGCAGAGGGCTGGCCTGATCGCCGCAGATGTTATGTCCTGGAGTTCGGCGGCGCGCACAGGGGGGTGGCGTCAGGGTGGGTGGTTGGGTGCTTCTAAGAAGACAAAGGCACCTCTGGAAGAGCCCAGGGCTTCTAAGACGCCCCATCAGAAACTTCCAGGCGCTTCCACCAGCGGCGAGCGAGGGGGGGAAATGAGAAGGAGAAGGCCTTCTCAGAAGGTTCGGAAGTCCCCAGGCCTTCTGAGAGATTTTTTAAGCCTTCACCGAAGACAAAACAAAACTTCTCAGAAGGCGCGAAGGCTTCTTAGAAGTCCCGCCGCCTTCTGAGAAGGCCTTATCCTTCTCACTTCACCCCCTCGCCTTCTCCCCCCCCCCCTCGCGCCAATTACCCCCTTGCGCGCGCTGCCAAGGAGCGGCACCCCGGCCGGGGTGGAGATCGTGAACGCCGCTGTCTCTCACCTGAAGCTGGACGCCACGCCTCTGGGCAAGGCTGGGATGCAGGACGCGCCCGACGAGGACGCCGCTTCCGTGCTGCCACCGGGCTCCACGCCGAGCTACGCGCTCTGCGGCAGCAGCTGGTACGGCCTGTCGCCCCTGGACTACGCGCTCCTGGCGGGGGTGAGCTACATCCGAAGACGACAACTCTGCATGAACATGCACGTTCGCAGCTCCCCGCGGACTCCTCGGGTCGGCGCTGGGCCCTCCTGGCGGCGCTTCGGCGCCGCCCTCGGCGCTCCGCGCGCCAGGGAGGGGATCCGGCGCCGATCCAAGAAATCCGCGCGGAGCTCTGAAAATGTATCGCGATGTCGTTTCTCCTCTTCCATACATGACCCCCAACGAGAAGAACGACCTGCCCGCGCTGATGCGGCGCCTGATGCCGAACAGGGACGTCACCATTCGGAAGACCCCCGCCACGGTGCGCCGCTGGCTCGAGTTCAGCATCAGGACCTGCGCAAACGCGAGCTCGTGCTCTTCCGTGACGGTGGTGGCGATTAGCGGCACCGACCCCACGCGAATCGAGGACTATTCGAGGACGAAAAATTCGGCACGCGCATCAACTTTCGGAGCTCCGCGCGGGGTTCTCGAGCCCGTCTGTGCTGGGCCCCCCCTCCCTCCTGGACGAAGAACATGTCCGTGTCCACGGCCTGACCCCGCGGGTGCGGGGCGTCTTTTCACGGCTGCCCCGCGTGGGCGGGATCGCGCTCTGGAGCCGAGACCCCGCGGGCGGATGTGTTCGCCGCTCGTGGCTCCCCTGGCGCGCGGAGTGCGCCAGGGGCGCCGCCGGAGGCGCCGCCGGCGGGGCCCGGTGCCGATCCTCGGCGGCGGCTTTTGGCAAGGGCCTGCCGGCTTCTCAGAAGACCTCTCGGAGGCCGCGCGGCCCTTGTGAGGAGGCCTCCGCCTTCCAAGACGTCCCGCCGCCGCCTCAGAAGGCCGGCCCCCCCCTTGCGCCGACCTCCTTTGTGGTGCGCCGCCAAGATCCAAGACATTCGCGCGGAGCTCCGTCGGTTGATGTCTGCGCTGCTTTTTCTTGCTCCGACTGTGCGGAGAATATCCGCATGTGGACGGAGCCCGTGGCGCTGCAGATCCTCTCTGTGTTCTTCCCGATCGTCCGAACATGGCCACGAGAGGCGGGGGTCGACCAAAACGCTGTTTTGGAATGTCGTGGATCGCTGCAGTTTTCGCGTCGTTTTCGATTTCCAGAGGAGCAAGAGGTCACTCTAATGAGATGTCCAAATATTCCAAAGAGTTCCAGGGCTTGCAGAATTTCCAATATTTCCAAAGTTCCACAATGGCTGCAGAGAGCGACCGCTAGAGACTCCAGAACTCCTGGAACGTACCCTGGGCCAATCGTGCCATGACAATGTAATCGCCCTAGCTTTGATTTCATTCTAGAGTCCACCACTGGCCAATCGCGACTTCGGATCTGCGCCAAAACTCCGCTTTTGGCGATCGGCCAGACAGCTCGCGTCATCACAAAACGCTTCGAAGCGATTCAACAGCGACACTGAATCGCTTTCGCGCTACAAATTTTTCGTGACGTCGGCCCCAGGGGATTTCGACCACTTCCCCGTGGCCGGTTTTGTATTCTGGGCCGTCTTCTGACGGTCCCAGGGCCAGGAAGCGGCCTCCGGAGGGCGAACATTAAGACAAACCCACCGCGCCGTCACGATTTTCTGGGAGTGCTTTTCCCAACCGTTCTGCGGAGTTGGGTCCTCGTTTTGAAGAGGCAGCGCCCCGCATTCCTCACTCCTCACTCCTCCTCCTCCTCCGCCTCCTCCTTCTCCTCCTCCTCTTCACTCCCTCTCCCCTCCTCCCTCCCCACATCATCATCATCATCATCATCATCATTATCATCATCATCATCATCATCATCATCATCATCATCATCATCACCATCACCATCACCATCACCATCACCATCATCATCATCATCATCATCACCATCACCATCACCATCACCATCACCATCACCATCACCATCACCATCACCATCACCATCACCATCATCACCATCATCATCATCATCATCATCATCATCATCATCATCATCATCACCATCACCATCACCATCACCATCACCATCACCATCACCATCACCATCACCACCATCACCATCGGTATCACCATCACCATCACCATCACCATCACCATCACCATCACCATCACCATCACCATCACCATCACCATCACCATCACCATCACCATCACCATCACCATCACCATCACCATCACCATCACCATCGCTGTCATCATCACCATTGTTGTCATCATCATCGCCGTCATCGTCACCATCGTCTTCATCATCATCGCCGTCATCATCACCATCATCGCCGTCAGCTAGCTTGTGCACACCCCTCACACGTCTCGTGGCTCCGCAGGGAGCTCCACCGAAGGTCCCAGTGGCGAAGTTCGCATGCGCCCCCGTCACCCATTTCGGCCCATAGGGAGCTCCACCGACGGTCCCAGTGGCGCAGTTCGCATTTGTCCCCGCCAATCAGTTCTGTTCATCCCTCACACGCTTCGTGCTCCCACAGGGCGCCCCACCAAATGTCCCAGAGGCGCAGTTCGCATGCGTCCCCGACACTTATGTCGGCACACCCCTCACACGGTTCGAGCTCCCATAGGGAACTCAACCGAAGGCCCAATAGCGAAGCTTGCAGGCGTCTCCCCCGCCCAATTCGGCACACCCTTCACACGTTTCGTGGCTCCGTAGGGAGCTCCACTTGAGGTCCCAGTGGCACAGGCAGCATGCGTCCCCCCGACCATTTCGGCACGCCTCTTACACGTTTCGTTGCCCCATCGGGAGCCCTACCAGGTCCCAGTGGGGCGGGTCACATGCCCATCTTGGCACACCCCTATCACACGCACGTTCAGTGCTCCCATAGGGAGCTCCACCGAAGGCCCCAGTGGCGCAGTTCGTATGCGTCCCCGCCACTTATTTCGGCACACCCCTCACGCATTTCGTGCTTCCATAGGGAGCTCTACGGAAGGCCCCATGGCGGTTTTCGCATGCGCCGTCCGCCCCACTTCGGCACCTCCCTCACACGGTTCGTGACCCCATAAGGGATCGCTATCGACAACGACATTCGCTGTTGTGGTACGCACAACTGCTTATGGCTTGGTGTTTCGCCAGGCCAATCTTTGGGTGGCAGCGCCCAGCTCTGAGGGTACATCTCGATGCCCCAGGGCAGGGCTGGACCTAAACTGTGTTTTGGCGCTTTCGTGGGCCGTTTTCGTTTCGATGTCGTTTTGCGGTACAGGCGAATCGAAGACAAAACGAGGGAACACGAAAACAAGACGAAAACGAGAAACACCGTTTAGGTTCAGCCCTGCCCCAGGGGCTGCCAGGCGTCTGCTCCCTCGAGCCGACAGAGGCGCTGCCTGCTCCTCCCCGCGGCGGTTCCTCCCGAGGGGCCCGCGGCGTCGGCCTGGGCCGCCCACGCCTTCGGCCCTCGCCAGCCTGGCGGGTTTGCTCGCTTCGCTCCGTCCTCGGCGCTTCGCCCCTCCTCCTCCTCCTCCTCCTCCTCCTCCTCCATCCCTTATCCCTCCTCCATCCTCCTCCTCCTCTACCTCCTCCTCCTCCTCCTCCTCCTCCTCTTCCCAGTGACCTCGTTGCACTTGGTGGGCCCCTTGCGAGAGGCCACCGCGGAGCTGATCGGGCTGACGCGCGCCGCCCTGCGGAGCATGGCCCTGCAGGACGACCGCTGGCACTACCAGGAGCCACCAGGGGCTTGCCGACGCTTCTCTAATCGGCTTGCGAGGGCCAAACAAGATAAGTCGAGGGAAATCTGGATCAATTGACGTACGTCCAAGCAGGTCGAGGTAGGTCCGATCGCGGACGCTTCAGCGCGAGTCGAGGGACAGCAGAAGTCGTTGAGCCCTCGACGAAGGAGGTGCTGGAGCACGTGGCGGGCAAGCCCCCAGGAGAGACCGTCGTGCTCACCGGCCACTCGCTCGGGGGCGGCATGGCCCTTGTCGTCGGCGCCCTCACCGGCAGGCTGTCCGATGAGGGAGAGCCGAGGCAGCGGTCGCTGGCCTTCGGGGGGGCCCTCTCGTCGCCACGGCTGGACGCAGCTCGGAAGACTGGTGCGTTCAGGACCCCCAGGAGGGGTCCGGGGAGAGAAGGTGCCGATGTATCGCTGCCCTTCCCTCGCCTTTGCCTTCTGGGCCCCTGGGAGGCCCTTGTCGCCATGGCTGGATTCGCCTCGAAGTTCCGGCCAGAGCGCACCCCGGCAGAGGTCCAGGGAGTAGCCGTATTTGGTGTCCTTTGGTTTCACCGAGGCTGGCGGTGGCCCTGCAGCCACCTGGCGTCTACCACTCGCTGGCGAAGCACCAAACCGACAGGGCGATCAACGGGGACAAGGCGGTTCACCAGAGGATTTCGAAGTAGCAGACGGAACACACACATAAACTTTCGGAGCTCCGCGCGGAATTCTTGCACCGCCCTAGCGCGCGGGGCGCGCCAGGGGCGGCGTCGGAGGCGCCGCCAGGGGGGGCCCAGCGCAGGTCCAATAATCCGCGCGGAGCTGCGAAAGTTTATGCTGATGCAGTTTTTTCTTTTTCTAGGAGCGTCACCCTGAAGTTCGAGGGGGACTGGATCCAGCACTTCGATGACCACGGGGGGCTGGTGCAGACCATGGCGTGCGATCGCTCGCACCAGGGCGTGCAGCTCGCGTGCCATATGGTCGAGGGCGCGGTCTGCCACCTATTGCGGCACTGCGGCGACGAGGTTAGGGCAAGATGAAATTGCGTAAACATAAACTTTCAGAGCTTCGCGCAGATTTCTTGGATCTGCGCTTGGCCCCTCTGGCGGCGCGCTCCACGCGCCAGGGAGGGTGGCCGAGCGCCGATCATAGAACTCTGCGCGGAGCTCCGAAAGTTTACGGTATGCTTGTGCCGTTCTTTGGGGGAGACCAGAAGGTACGGATGCCGCTGCTGTCCAGACCGTTCCCTGGGTGCGTTCTGACAAGAGTTTCGAGGCGAATCCAGCGGTTGTGACGAGGGTCTCCGAGGAGGCCCCCAAAAGGCAAGACGAAGGGAAGGTAGCAGCATGGGTACCTTTTTTTCTGTTTTGTTGTTTATCCAGAGGAGCAGCGCTTCTGGCGCTGCTCGCACGAGTACGCCCCGTCGTCGGCGCTGCGGGAGGTCCTCAACGCGCTGGGGGCGTGGCTGCGGCAGATCTGGGTGCGCTCCAGGTGGCGGCGCGAAGAGATGTTCGGCGACCTGTGGGCCAAGGCTCGAGGAAAAAAGATGGGCATGCGTAAACACAAGCTGCTGGAGTCCTCTCATTTTTTCAAAGTCTTGCGGATTTTCGTCTTATCCTGCACTTCCCTCGGCGCTCCCCGCGGATTTCTTGGATCCGCGCTGGGCCCCCCTGGCGGCGCCTCCGGCGCCGCCCCTGGCGCGCTCCGCGCGCCAGGGAGGGGGGTCAGCGCAGATCCAAGAATTCCGCGCAGACCCCCCAAAGTTCATGTTGATGCCGTTTTCTTTTCTATTCTCATATTTTTATATGTTGTTGGGAATCAGCGTTTGCTTGCCTTTGTGTATCTGTTTTTTCCTCCTGAGAGGTACTGGAAGGATCAGCATTAAAAAAGATAAACTTCTTGGAGGTCCGCGCGGATTTCACGGATCGGCGCTGGACCCCCTCCACAGGCGCTACTCCCCAGACCTCTCCAGAGGTGCGCTCTGGCACTGGCCGGAATTTCCAGGCGAAGCCAGCCGTTGGGATGAGGGCCTCCCGTAGGCCCAAAACGGCGAAGACGAGGGAAGGGTAGCGATATATCGGTTCCTTTCCCTCCTTCTCGTCGTCCTCCTCCACCTCTGAAAGGTCCTTCTCCTCCCCCTCCTCCTCCATTTTTCTCCTGATAAATATCTTCCTGTCGCGCCCCGAGACGTGTCGGTAGGGAAGACCGGGCGTTTCGTGCTTCAGACTTCCTCACCCTTGCGATCCTTAAGCTGACAAGTTGAACAGTTTCACGGATGGGCCGTTTTCAAAATGGGGTACTCGCCGCCGCGCACATTTGTCTTAACAGTTAGAACGAGTTTCACGGATGGAGGGCGGGTGGTTTTCAACATGTGGTTCTCGCCTTAGCGCCGCGCACATTCGTGTTGAACATTTGGCAAGAGTTTCACGGATGGAGGGCGTCATTTTTTCAACATTTGTTTCTCGCTTTAGCGCCGCTGACACTCGTCGTAAGTGTTCACAGCAGCAGTTGCAAGGATTCTTAGGGTTGACGTTCCAGAAATGTTGTGCTTGCACGATGTGGGACGATCAGCGCGCAACAGGTACGTTGATTCGCGGTGTTGAAGGTGCAGGAATGGTGTTTTGGCACGGGTCAAGGTTTTCAGACGGTTTTCTTCAGCGGGGCATTTCCATCAGTGAAAATTAGTTATCGTAGGGACCTGTGAAGAGGACACTTGGAGGGAGGGTTTATTGCAACCTCGTTGATGAGTCTTGGGTTTACCTTGGTTCTCCTCCTCGTCTTCCTCCTCCTCCTCCTCCTTCTCCTTCTCCTCCTGCTCGTCGTCGTCGTCGTCCTCCTCCTCCTCCTCCTCCTCTCCCTCCTCCTCCTCCCCTTAGATCCGACGTTGCGGAATGTTTGCAACACCGCAGAAAATCACGATCGGAGACCTGGACCCCGTCTTTCTGCTGCATTTTTCGTGCTGGATCGACCTGGGAGGGTCCCGGGGCCCGAAGCGAGGCAAAATCGCCCCTCCTCCTCCTCCTCCTCCTCCTCCTCCTCCTCCTCCTCGATCCTCGATCCTCGATCCTAGATCCTAGGATCGATCCTCGATTCTCGATCCTCCCCCCTCCTCCTCGATCCTCCTCCTCCTTTTCCTCCTCCTCGATCCTCCTCCCCCTCCTCTGAAAGGTCGTGTCCGCCGTGTGCATCTCCGTCGCATTCCTGCTCCGCCCCCAGCGGGGGCCAACGCCAGCGGCCGAGGGCGCGGCCGCGAGGCGGCAGGAGAGTCGATGATCGGCGCTCGATCCGTACTCCCCCGGGAGCCGGCTGGGGTTACGTCGGGCCTGCCCCTCTACAGGAGGAATATTCAAAAATAGTCAAACAATAGTATGGGGGCGATTTTTCTAGGATTTTTGGACCATGTTTGATGATATTTTTGGAGTATCTTTTATTTTCGTCCAACATTCCCCTGTAGGGGGACACGCTTGACCTGAGGCTGGGGATGTCGTGAAGGGGGGGCGTTTGGAGAAGGCAGGGCTCAAGAGACGGGGGTCAATGCAAACATGGATCAGTCAGAGCGCCGGATCTTGCAGGATCCTGCCGAGCCAGGGGTGCACTGACCTGGCTTGCGGTGCAGGATCTTGCAAAGCCTGACTGACCCAGGTCTTGATCGACCCTGGTCAGTAGATCCCCGAAGAAGGCAGGGGTGTTTCGAACAGAGCAGGGGCATTCTCAGAAGTGTTAAGGCGCCGGCAAACGCTTGTTCGCCTTTTGCAAATTCCACGCGCCGATCCGATAGATCTGCGCGACACTGGAGCGACGCCCGACGTCGCGTGAAATTTTCGACCGTCGCGCAGAACGAAGGATTTGTAGTCTCTGGCGCTGGGCATAGGATGGAATACGAGGGATGATGAAGACAGCAGCAGCAGCAGCGAGGACCAGAGGGAATGCGATTTGATGAGAACTCAACGCAGCGAGGACGGGGAGCATGCAACGCATCAGCATGGAAGTAAGGACGTGTTGCACTGTGCGTGAACGTCGGCATGGTGAACACAAATCAGTTAATATGTACACAGAGTGCACACAGCTCGAAACAGACAGCCAACGCACGATTGGCCACAGCAGGAATAAAAACAACACATAGCCAAACTATCACCAACGCATCACATATCCATACTTAGCACATAAGCAACACATAACCAACACATGACCGACACATAACCAACAAGTAACCAAACATAACCAGCATATGATCAAGCAAGCATGGCCGCGCAAAGAGCAGCAGGCGCCGCGCAAAATTCCATTCCAGGCGAGTTTACGCAAAGTGGAAGGACGTCCCGAGTCAAAGCGGCGACGCCAGGGCTGCACGAAATTGTGACACGGCCGCCCGAGATTTCACGACGCGCGGGTGCAACTGCGAGCACTTGGCGCGCAGTCGCGCATTTTCCTAGACCAGGGCACGCCAGCCGACGCATCCGATGCTTTGCGAAAGCGGAACAGTTCTAGTGTTCAGAATCCATATGCGCGACTTTGCGAAGTATTCTTGAATGTAGTCAACGCGTTGCGAACGTTCAGCCTCATCATCCCTGTTTTCCCTTGCGCGGCTGGCCCACCACGGTGTGCCCGAACACCATGCCATCGTCATGGTCTCCAGAGCCATCGGCCGTATCGTCTGCCGTTGCCACTCAGGCTCATCCCGTCGGCCGCTTGGCGTTCTTTGGGCGCGCGTGTAGCCGCGCGGGACGTCAAAAGTCCCGCTCGGCGCACGGGTGTGCCCTTTGCCTGGCGTCGCGCCTGTTGGTAAAAAACTGCCATGCGCGACGGGCGTTGCCTGAAGCACGTGGTCTGGGCGTGTTCGGCAATGTCGGCGCGAAGGCGCTTTTGCGGCGCCTGTTTCATTTTCGCGCGGCTCCGGGCGATTCCGCGCAGGCTCCAAATTGTTGTCGGTTCGCGTGTCCCCACCAGTCCGTCCGAGGGCCGCCTGCTTCGTTTTTCACGCTTTGCCCCCTTCCAGCCCGCCGGTAGGCGTGAGCTTGGCTCGGAGTCTGGCGCCGATCCGGCGACTCGCTCCGTAGCTTTGAGTTCGTTCATTTTGTATTGTGCATGTGCATATGCTACCTGCTTGCAGGCGCGTCTCAGCTTGTCATCCTGGCTGCTGCGTTCGCTAATTCGCACTGTGCCGTTGCCCCGGACACTGCTCTCGCCGCCTGACCGTTGCCTCGCGGCCGCAATCAAAAAAAGTGTCCCCACCAGCCGGGGCGTCCCCCGCAGGGCTGGTTGGGCTGGCAGCTGATGATATTATGTGGTCAGTTTCGCGGCAGGAGCTCACGTGCCCCTCACTGGCCGACGCTCCTCTGACAACCCGTTCTGCCGAATTGGGATACCTGGGATGCAGGGACCTGTTCGCACTTCCAGGTCCGCGCGCGCTTACACGGTGAGCTTACGCTGGGTGATTCACTGTATATTGATTGACGACGGCCTCGCGGTCCTCACATTGGCTTACGCGTTGACGGAGACGTGGCGTGCCCCTTCGAGGATGTCGAGTTTACTGGTGTGCTCGGGCTCGTGATCTTCGGCTTGTGCGCTGAGCCGTGGTTAGTCGCCTGGTCATTTTCGCTGCCCGTTCGCCGCTCGCGCTCGGTTTCGGCCCCGCCATTTTCTGCGCTCGGCTGCTGTAGTGTGGGCACCCGCCCTTTCCCACGTAGGCCTGGTTTTCGTTCGACCCCTTGACGCCGCGCGGCTGTCCGCTTGCGGTTGCGAACAGAAAAGAATCCCCACCAGCCTATCCAGAAGCGATGCCCAGGGAAGTGTAGGAGCAACGCACGGGGCAGTTGTCATCTGTCGAATGAGGAGGATGGAGGTGCAAGGGGACGAGGAGGAGGAGGCGGAGGAGGAGGAGGAGGAGCAAAAGGTGGAGGAGGAGGAGGAGGACGAGGACGAGCAGGGGCTAGAAGGAGAAGGGGTCGACAGATGAGAAGCAGGAGGAGGAGGAGGAGGGGGAGGAGGAGGAGGAGGAGTGGCATGAGGATGATGATGATGATAATAATGAGGAGGATGAGGGAAAAGGAGGGACAGGAGAAGGAGGAGGAGGACGAGGACGAGGAGGACGACGAATTGGAGTTGGAGTTGGAGGATGAGGAGGAGGAGCAGGCAGCAGCAACCGCAGCAGAATAGTAATAACGACGAGAGGAATAATACGAATACCACTAATAATAAGAATCGCAATAATACGAATAATACGAATATTAAAGCAGAGCCCCGATAATAATAGTAACACTTATAAGAAGAATGCGAACATGGGAAATCATAATACTTAGAAGGAGCATGATAAAACGACGACTAAGACGAAACATAAGAAGAACGCGACCACTAATACTAATAAGCAGAACAAGAAGGCGAACAATAGTACTAATAAGAATACGATGATTCAGAATATTAGTAATACGGAAAATGCTAATAATCACAGGAATACGAATAATAAGAATCATAAGAATAGTAATAAGAAACATCAGATCACATAACAAGAATCTGAATAATACAAAGAAGAGGAGGACGAGTAGTAATAATCAGAATCGTACTGTTAAGGGTAGTAGTATTAAGAAACGCAGAAACAGACGGATAATACGGATGAGTAAATCATAGAACGTATAAGAGGAATATGATTAGTACTGAGGAGAGTAATATTACAAAAAACAACAATGCCACTACTAATTTTCCTACTACTATTTGTGATAATAAGACTAACACATACTACGAATAATAATAGGAAGATACATCGTAGTACTACTAAGAAGAATATTACGACTACTACTACTACTAAGGATCATATCAATAATACGACGAATGCTATTAATACTACTAATTATAAGAAAAATGATACGAATCATACTAGTACTTATACTAATACGCAGCACACTAATACGAAACATGATCATACCAAGACGAGGGGGAGGAGGAGGAAGAGGAGGAGGAGGAGGAGGAGGACGAGGAAGAGGAGGGGGAGGAGGTGGAGGAGGAGGAGGAAGAGGAGGAGGAAGAGGAGGAGGAGGCCGCACCCCGCTGGCCCCCCCCCCAGGGATGGCGAGGTCTAATCAGGGTATGGGTGGTGCCTTACTCCGCTGCCCCTCTCCCAGCAACCCTCGAACGTGGCGACAGCTTCGCAGATCGCAGCCCCCCAGGGATGGCGAGGTCGAGTGTGAATCTGCGTAGGACGTCACTCGCTGGACCCCCCAACAACCCTCGAACGTGGCGACTGTTTCGCAGATTGTAGCCCCCAAGCGATGGCGAGGTCTAGTCTGACTTTGGGTGAGACCCCATTCCGCCGGACCCCCCAGCAAACTTCGAAAGTGGTGGCAGTTTCGCAGATCGCAGCCCTTCCCAGGGATGGCGAGGTCTGATCTGAGTCTGGGTGGGGCCCCGCTCCGCTGCCCCCCCCCCCAGCAGCTCTCGTAAGTTGCGGCAGTTTCGCAGATCGCAGCCCACAGGAGTAGCGAGGCCTGATCTGAGTCCGGGTGGGACCCCACTTCGTTGGTCCTCCCAGCAGCTTTCGACAGTGGCGACAGTTTCGCAGATCGCAGCCCCCCAGGGATGGTGAGGTCGAGTCCGAATCTGCGGCGGGTGCCCACTATGCGCCCTTCCCCCCCCCCCATCCCCCGCAACCCTCGAAAGTGGCGACAGTTTCGTAGATCGCAGCCCCCCCTCCCCCCCAGGGGTGTCGAGTCTAGTCGGAATCTGCGGCGGGTACCCACTATGCTGGTCGCCCCCAGCAGCCTTCGATATGTGCGACAGTTTCGCAGACCGCAGCCCCCAGGGATGGCGAGGTCTAGTTTGAATTTGCGGCGGGTACCCACTATGCTGTGCCCCCCCAGCAGTCGTCGAAAGTGGCGGCATTGTCGCAGATCGCAGCCCCCCCCATTTGTATGGCGAGGTCTAATCTGGATCTGCGGCGGGTGCCCACTATGCTGGTCCCCCCAGCGGCTTTCGAAAATGGCGACAGTTCCAGAGATCGCAGCTCCCAAGGTATGCTGGCTTCACACTTCGCAGGCCCCACAGGCAAGCCACCAGGCGCACAGGAGAGTTGAGGGGACAGGAAGCGGTGAGGAGGAGGACAGAATGATGAGGACGGAGACCGCATTGCTCTAGTCAAAACGAGAGCCCAACGCAGGAGAGTTGGGGAAGGACCGAGGAAGAGGATGATGAGGAGGAGGAACAGGCGTTGGAGATGGAGTAGAGGGAA